AAAAGTATTTTATATGAATATTTAAGGAATCACCCAAAACTTGCCTTACCCTATGGTATATTCTTACCATCGTAAAAATATCCGTAAAAATATCCATAAAAATAAAAAATCCCCAAAACGCCTTAAAATGCCAGATTAGGTCCTAAAACATGCTGCCAAGTGATTATTTTGTGTTTTAAACTCCAAAAAGTATTTTATATGAATATTTCAACAATCACCCAAAACATGCCTTTCCTTACCATCATGAAAAACCAAGATAATTAAAAAAATTAAAAAATTAAATATATTATATATTTTCTGCATGTTTCTCATCAAATTAGAGCATTTTTTTAGAACCTTTTTTTTAGATTTTTTTAAGTAAAATCTAATTTCATTTTGGACAGATGGAGATTTTTTTTTTTCAAAATTCCAAAAAAGAAATTTTGGGAATTCTTTTTGGCAAAATCCTAATTTCACATTAGTTTTTTCCTCTTGCATGATCGTTTACATGTTTTCTGTGTCATTTTTACATGTTTACCTTGTTGCGTATGACTTCCATGGTTTGTTGTGTGCTCCTTTGCTGAATGTGGGTGCAGATCCATTCTTTTTGCTACAGGAAATATGGTTTCTCCTCAAGCAACTCTGCTGGCTCCCGTTGGTCACAGAAAAAACAGTGTGCACGTTGGCATTGTTAAGGTTGGCGTTAGAGGGTATTTGCGATGAATTGTTGGTGGAATTGGATTGGGTGTAATTATTTTTATGATAATGGTGATTTTCCTGATGGGGTGAGGAGTTCAGCTCTGTCTCTCCCTCTTTGTCCCTGATCGACGTCCTCACAGTCTGGATGGGTTCAACTGAGGAGCTGCAGGAGACGTTCAAAATCTGTAGAGGACGCTGGGTGACAGTAGTTAGGTAGGAGGTGCCCTGCTGGTTGTTGACGACATGATTGACATGGTTCCCAAACAAACCGCCATCACGCTGTAGGGGAATCAAAAAGAAACCACTGGCAGTGAGTGTACCCAGAGCGGTCTTACAGAAACGAACCCTTTATTTATAAACTTAAATGATAAAGTCTCCACATATCATCACTAATTTATTTTAACACTAAATGTTAAAAAAAAACGTTTTTGCAGGAAGTTTTTTGAACGTTTACCCTGTAGATCACTTCCTCTTCCTCCCCATTAGCATCTACTAGCCCCTCCTCCTGCAGGTCACATGATATGGCTCTACGTATCTCTGGTCCAAGGTCATGCAGCGTACGCAGGCCAGCCTAATGAAAATGACAGTATGACACTCAAACACTCGATATTAATTAAACAAGTAGCCTAAGAGTGGGAATAGCTACAAAGACTAAAACATTGTATGAGTGGTGGCCTGTGCTAATACCAATATTGTCCATTTTTAATGGTTTAAGTGTGATCACCAGCCAAGAAAACAGAGAGACCAGAAAACCTACAACCAACTCAGCTTCTATTCAATGATGAGCGCTTTTCTCATGAGTAATTCCATGTTAGTGAAAAATGTTTCATAACCAATTCTTAGTTAGTACAGTCAGAGTACATTAGTACATTACCTTCTACCATTTGTCTAATAATTTAAAAAAATAATGTTTTGTCAATGCTGAAGATTCAATTCAGATAAAGAGGCAAGGATCAACAGTCCATTGTTGAACTAAACCATACTTTACTTACCTGTAGAGCCAGGGTGGTATTGTATCTCTCCCAAGAGCGTCTTCCCACAAGACCTTGCTCTTTGCGTCTTTTGAACTTCCTGAAGTAGTCCTGTATCAGGAATGTGGCATAAAACTTCCCCACTGTTACCTCGTCATCTGAGTGAACAGACCAGACACACCGAAGCCTCCCAGATCAGAACCACAATCCTTTAACACTAAAAATATAATATAAGCTTAAACTCTTTCTTACACAACAGCCTACGACTTTATCAACACACATGCTTTTTTCTATGTAAACAAATGTAAAAAAGCTAGCATGACTAGCTTTGATGGAAAATGGAGGAAAAAAAACCTCTAGTTATCCTACAACAGGACAGACACAAATCAACTGTATACAGCAGGAAGAAAAAGTCCACTATGTGACATGCAGTGATATACAATATGCAATTTATATATTCAAATCCCCTATATTTACAATGTACATAAATTCAGTTTGCACTACTTTTCTTGCACTACCTCCTAGAGTTTTTATAGCATTTTTTACAGTTTACATTTTGAGGTACTCTTTCTTTTTGTCTTTTTTCGTTGTGATGCATGGTGGCTCTGTGGGAGCACCCTCAATGTTGTTGTCCACACTGTACAATGACAATAAAGACTATTCTATTCTATTCTATTCAAAGAGGCAGAGCATAAATCAGTCTGATTCACTCAGAACGAGATTTTTTTTAAAGAATTGGGGAGAAATACTAATGGAAAAACAAGGCTGTGTGAAGGTGTGTATAATTTTTTTTTCATTAATTCATCACCTTTCCTTGACTCCTTGGAGAGGAAACAAGTTGAGGTGATAGGTATAAGTGATGGAGTCTTCTAGTGAGAAAAAGAACCTTTCCAATTGAATCAAAATAAACATTATTCTTGACAACACCTCCGACAGCCTGAGGGGAGTTATTAAAAGACTCTGTTCATAAAGAACTCCAGTGATCAGCAGTGATTTACAGTTCAGTTTCAGTTTTAAAAACAAATTAATTCACTTACAAAATTCCCAAATAATTCATTCAAATAAATCATTTTTTTTAAATGATGATAAATACTGTATGTACAAAGCTACTTAAAACGCACCATCCTGGTAAGGTCAGAATAATGTGTTTCTTTCTGAACAGAGATGAGGTTCTAAAGAGAGGTACCAGTTTGTTCATGCCCCCAGACTAAAACAGAACTAGTCCAAAAAGTTCAAGAGAACAGAAAGAGAAGAGTAGAAGGCAGCATACTGGGTGTTAGACACTGAACTGAAAGGAAAAGAAGCTGCAGAAGAGACTAAAAAAAGAAAAGGCGTTAGCATGCACAGGCAAACAATGATGTGCTGATGAAACTGAGCCAAGCTGGACCACACAAACAAATGGGAGTTCAAAAGATAAGCATCACATGTTTTCTGAGAAAGACTCATGCAGTAAGAAGAACCACAGACCATGAGAATAATGATAAGACAAACAGCAGGATTTTGAGTTCAGTAACAGCAGAAAACACAGGTGCAGACAGATGCTGATAAGGAGAATTTCAGTAAAAGGAACTGATGTGTGAACTGATGTGCTAGTTTTTACATCATCCTGTGTTTGGTGGTTGTGGTTTAATTGCTCAATCAGTAAGTTCTCAGGGATAGAAAACCTCTGCACAAATTTTCAGAATCAGATTTTTAAAAAAAGGTAAAGGTGTCTAAATGCGTCCCAAAGAAACCTCCATCGTTGCCTTTAATTGACCTGCTATGTGACCATGTTATATTACAGTGATCTCATTAACAATGAGAGTTAGTTATTGCCTCTGAGATACAGTATGTGTGTAGAGTGTAAAGAGTTCTGACCGCCTGCGGGGGGCACCACTTGATCCAGAAGCTTCATGCTGGTTCTCTTCCAGATCTTCTTGATCACAGCTCTCAGCTCCTCATTGGCTTGTTCCAGATTCCCTATAATGAGTCAGAAAGTGTAAAAGAAATATAGTTTTGATTGAAAATTTTAATTTAAGTAAATATTTAAGTGAATATTTTTGCCACAGCAGATGTTATGAATCCTGCCCACTGTACCTTTAAATTAAAAATGAGTTCGAATATGATTCACGCTGTGGCAACCACAGTGAATATCTGTAGCTCCCTCTAGTGGTAATATATCAATTTAGCACATTGCTTTCAAGCCCGTGACTATATTAATTTTACTTCAACATCCTCAGACAACAATTCCTGCCAGAGACACTGCCAGAGTGTTTACCCAGCCAAGTTAAGTCAGCAACAGTCAGACAAGTTCAATTTCACGTAGAAAACACAAACTTTAGAAGTCTTACAACCTTTCTGTAATAGTTTAACATTTCTTAAAAAGCACAAGAGCTACTCAATCTGACCTCAACAATAGCTGTCTAATAAAAACACATCAGCTGTTTCTATTAGCTTCATCTGCAAATTAGTGTACAAAACAAACTAAGCATTTTAATAAAGTCCATTTCACTTTCTACTGTGTGCAGATGCAGACTGACCCTCCGTCTTGATCTTCAGAGCAGTGCGAACCAGAGCAAACAAAGTGGCATTAAACATCACAGTCCCATCACTGTTCAGGGGCATGTTCATCGCCACCAGACGCTGCAGAAGAATTCAAAATTCACATTGGAATATACTTGGCGTATTTTCAAAGATTCATTTGATGAAAGCAGTCTTCATGTCCTCACCTTACAGGCAACTCTGTGTGGGCAGAGTTTACCAAAGCCCAGAGGAGGCTGGATTCTCCTCAGCAGAGTCACCACATCCAGATGCTTTATTCTCCCTCTAATGATGACACACATCCAGATAAAGGTCACTGTGTAGGAATGCTACTAATGTCTGTTCTCAACAACTTCACAGGTCCAAATGTAAACTGTAAACTGTTGAGCATGTTTTTCCTAAATACATTAAATTACAAAAAAGAATAAATATGATGCTTCTCTTCACTGTAAGACCCAGGAACTCACTTAGCTTCAGGATCATATTCAGACCAGATCCTTTTAAACTCATCCAGGTGATGTGGCCCCAGTATAGACCAATCACGGGTCAGATAGTCAAAGTTGTCCATGATCACAGCAACAAACAGGTTGATGATCTAGAACCAGAACAAAAAACCATATCTGAGTAAATCTGTGGTCACATATGAGTGTTTAGAACATTCAGGGAAAACTCAGTAAAAAAAACTAGCATAATAAAAACTTAGAGTAGTACTAAGAAGTCCTATGGAGTATAGTAATCAAACATAGTAATCAACTTTGAAAATGAAGTCACACTTCTTTTGAATTAGTGGAGCTACATACAAAGACATGCAGTCAAAGTGTCAGACTTACCAGAAAAGCACACAGCATGTAGAAGCTGATGAAGTAGATGATGGCAAATCCACTGCCGCAGGTTTTCTCCTCTCCAGGGTTGTAGTCAGACTCTGAGTCACACAGTTTCCCAGGCAGACAGGCCAGCATGATCTCCTGCCAGGCCTCACCTGTGGCACACCTACAACACAGAACAGCCACGTTTGGAATGAGTTTGAGAAAATCAACAATATTAAACTTTACATGAGCTGAAACGGACATCATAACACCTGAATAACATCAGGACAGCTTGGGGGAAAGTCTGAAAGTTGTTGTTGCGGTTGATTTGTGATCCATCCACCATTGCTATTTTCCCAAATACCTGAAAAGACAAGTCGACCACAAGTTGATGAGGATGCTCTAAAACAGTGTTTCCTAACCTTTTTTGAGCCACGGCACATATATCATTAGGAAACCCCCCCCCCCCGGCATACCACCAAACAAAAATCTCACAAAAAGTATTTCTAATAAAATATTATAATCTTCTAGTTTAAATGATGATAATTGATTTAAATCTCAGCCTGGTTAGTTGAAGACAACGCTGATATACTGGCAGGAATTGAAGAAAGACACTGACAAAGATCTTCAACAGCTCTGATCATTTCACCTGCATTCCTATGACAGCATAGATGAAGAACAGCATGGCAATGAGGAGAGCAACATAAGGAAGAGCCTAGTGGAAGGAAAGACATTTTCTCAGTCAAATGTGATCAATCGGCATTGTCGATAAACACATGCTCCCCTGGTTTAAATGATCATTATTTTGTAGTATATCAAGGTGGTTAACATTTTAATCTGTCTGTATGTGTAGATCTATGTGCAATATAGATTTTACAGAATGATATTTTTTACTTTATTCTGAAAACGGTTAATGATCTCACCTGAAAGGATTTGATGAAGGTCCACAGCAGAGTCCTGATTCCTTCTCCTCTGCTCAGCAGTTTGACCAATCGCATCACCCTGAACAAACGGAAGAAGGTGATGGAGATGCGAGCACTGTCTTCTGTGTTCTGGAGAAGGATAACAAATAGAAGGGGTATGACCCAAAGATGGACCTTTTGTCCCAGGTGAAGAGATGCAAATAATTATCACCATACATTTTTTTATGTGATGATATAGAAAATATGTATTCTGTTATGTCAACATGGATACAGAGTAACATGATGGTTCTTAATGACCCGGTCGGTGAAAATACTCCACTGACTGAATGTAAGACATGGACGTAGCTTGAGTTCAGTCAAGGTAAAGTTACTGTAGGTTAGTACTTTAGGTGAAGTCTGTGAGCATCCTGTTGATAAAGTCTTTAAAAGAAAGGATGATAAAAGCACATTTGTAGTGGAATGACCACATTATCTTAATATCTATTCAAAATTAACCATAAACAACAAGGATTACATGTTTTACTTAAAAACATAAGACATTAAAAATTTGCCATAAACCTTTTCATCTTAACTCATAAAAGGAGCTTTATTTTGCCACAGATTTTTATTAAAAAATACATTTCTAGTCTTTATCCAGAGCTGCATTTTGCAACAAGAGTCTTCAACAAAAGCTACGTCCACTCCTTATATACTGTCTTTCTTACATAGAGAGTATGTAGCTGTGAATGACAAGTGACAGTCCAACAGCAACACCAGTCTACTCAGTACCAACAGCAACAGGGGTATTTACACTTGTTTCTATGTGACAACAAATCACATTCATTTAGATCTTTCTATTACAATTAGAATACACTGTGCTTAAATGCAACAACGATCACATGACACCATGCCATGCACCGAGACAGGACAAAATGTCAGTTGAATAAAAGCCGAGCCAAAACACAACAGATCCGGTAAAATCCAAACAAGACTTTGACAAAGTTCAGCCACAAAACCTCAGGTCCAACCGAAAGAAGCGAGACAACATTCTGGAAGGAAACATCTTCCTCCTATCTTTAGTGACTGACAAAGACTGACCACAAAAATACGTTGACGCTTTAATATTTGCCATTAACACAAAAGAGAAAGACAGGTGTTTTAATGGAGGAACAGCAGGAGGGGCATCTTCTTACCCCCGGCTCCACTATCACCTGGATGACAGGAATGGCTGCCGACTTGAAATCAAAAGCCTGAGGTTAATCCCAGTTACACATTCACATGTCAGTGCTGCTGCAGACGTCACTGAGTCATTATTTGTTGAGACTTTTTATACAAAAACACATTAAAAGCACTACCAATGGCCTCAAATCTCAGTGTAGTATTGCCAGCCAATAATGGCAGACGTGAAAGGTAAGTGTAAGTTCCTGTGAGTGTATTGCTTGTTTTAGTATTTCTGTAGATATGTTATAGTGATGTACTAATGCAAGAAATACTATAACAATCTGCAATAATCTCAACTTACCTGATGTTTTACAAGTCATTTATTTTTCAAATAAACCCTCCGTAGTTTGCTCTACTGGGGGTTCTGGGGGTGAAAAAGAACTAATTTTTTCTACTGTATGAGATCCATAAAATGCAGGCAGCTTTTTAATGGTGTTGTCTGTTTAACTCTTTCAATTTTGTACCAACATATTTCCACGAAAAACCTTTTACTTTGTTATGTAACATATAATTAAATGTACTAAGTCTGGTATCAGCCTGGCATCAGCATTCTCTCTACACCTGTTCAACGCCTGAAACTGAACAATAACCAACAGACACCTTCACATGGACACTAACACACTAAAACAAACATGGAGTCAAACGTTGACCTTTACAGAAGCGGTAGCCCGTATTTTAAAAGTTTTTTTAAAAAATCATCCGATTTCACAGAAATTTCTAAATGTATTCCGGAGCATCAACTTATTTCTGATTTTCGTGACTGGTCAGTGCAAAAGTTGGACAGGCAAGAGAAAGAACAAGGTAAAGGATCTGAGCTAAAGGGAGCAGCGAAAGTATAAGAGAAATAAGAAGAAAAATGAAGAAAGAAAATGGAAGGAAAAAACAAAAAAAAAAGAAGCAGAGAAAGAAAGGAAGAAGAAGAACGAAAAATAAAAAAGAAATATAAAAAGAGGATTAAGGAGAAGAAAGAAATTAGTTTATTTTTAATTAGTATTACACTGCAGCTATGTTTTTATATGTGTCTGTGAATTGACAGTGAAGTACCTCATTATTTATCATCTCAGTCAAATCTGTTCCTGGTTCCACTACAGTTAAGTCCATGTAAATGTAACAGAAACAAAACAGTGATTTCTTTTTGTGGTGGAAACAAATTACACACATGAAAGTCAATGACTCGCTAACCCAAGCATTTCCTTTAACATAAAAAGAAGTCAAACTAACTTTTTTTAAATTGAATGAAACTGAAAAGCTATTACAGCACGATCCCACAGCAGAGACGCTGATTCAGTTAACAGCAGCAGATACTGTTAGCATGATTTAGGATTACTTACATTGATCTCAGTGATGGCAATGTCAACCACGCTACCCACAACAATTAAGGCATCAAACGTGTTCCATGCATCGGCAAAATAGTTCTGTGAGCAAACGGAACAGAGACACGAAGAGAAAAGAAGAAAAAAAAACACCAGAGCAGCAGAGTGAAAGTAAAAGCAAGAATAATAATGAAAGACAGAGAGGGGAGAATGATAAAAAAAAAAAAATTAATAAAAAAGACAGAGTAGTCATCTGTCCCTTTATTGAGTCAGTGAGAGGTTTTTGTTCATAACATCTAGACTGGCAAAACTAAATAAATCATAAATCTTTTGTTTTCAAATATTTTCTCTCTCTCTCTCACTGATTCAATTCTAGACTTAAAAAAAATCAACCACAGACACAAAATTTCACCTTTGACAGTTGAATATGGTGCAAACTTTCAGACTTTCTAATGCCGTTGTCTCCAGTTTGTTTTTTGTTTTTTTTTAGATGATCCTAAATTACAAGTACTTGATCACCTTTTATAGAATTACAATTTGACATAAAGGAGATTTTGGGGGACTAAGATGATTGGTCATTGTGGGTTAATGACTGCTGCATCTTCCAATAGGAGCCTGACGTCTGTAGGTGTGAGGTTTTGGTCTGTGGTGCTCATCGGTCACAGATGAATTCACAGATGAATTCACAGATGAAAAAAAAAACATGAACACAAATACAGGCAGGAAAGAAGGAGATGAGGAAGGGTGGGAGCAGCCAGAACAGGAAATGACACACTGATGTCTCTCTACCTGGCTGAGTATGATGTCCACTACACTGCCAATCACCACCAGAGCATCGAAGACGTTCCAGGCGTCCCCAACGTAGCCCTGGGTGAGGCAGTATGCACAGCCAACAGTGGGGGACAGGGAGGAGGTGATGGACGGGAGTGACAGGAGTAATGAAGGGGAAGAACAAGGAGAACAAGGAAGGAACAAGGAATTAAAGGCAATGAATTAACTATCAGAGGAGAGGAGACGAGAGGAGAAGAGAGGAGAGGAGAGGAGAGGAGAGAAGGGGGATGGGTGGTAAAAGAGACTTACTCTGGGTTTAAAGGCGATGAGTTTGAAGATCATCTCCACAGTGAAGACTCCAGTGAAGACCATGTTGAGGATGTCCATGGCATAGTTAAACATTTGAGACTCCCCGTGGTGCTGACAGCCACAGACAGATAAGAACACCCATATTATCAATAATGTTTTGGTTGCTTCACCTATAAAGTCAGCACCCCTGGATATTAATATGCTTCACATAGGACATGTTTTACAGTATGTGCTAACAGAGAGCACATCAGATACTAGCAAGACATTTATCATAAAACATTAATGCGTTTAATGACAATTAAAAATCTTGTCAATGTTTAGAATATCATAAACCCATGTAGCTTAAAATTACATTTAACCAAAAAGGCGGCACTCAGCACACTTACCTGAATGGCGAGACACAAAGTGTTGAGGATAATGAGGACAAACATGATGTACTCAAAGCCAGTGGAGTTGACCACATACCAGAACTTGTACTGGTATCGATTTTTGGGGATGTAACGACGAAGAGGACGAGCTTTTAGTGCATATTCCACACACTGTCGCTGCGGAGGTCGTGGAGGAAGAAGAGTCCAACAGTGAACCTCTGTGACGTCAACACATACATACAGTACATTATACACACAAATACCCACTGGTACCTGGTTTTTGTCCAGCTCACAGTTCTTATACTCCTTCTCCCCCTGCTCTTGGAAGGTGACAATGACAAAACCAACAAAGATGTTCATCATGAAGAAGGCGATGATGATGATGTAGATGATGAAGAAGATGGAGATCTCCACACGGTAGTTGTAGATTGGACCCATGTTCTCTCTGTTGGAGTCGATGGCCTTGTACAACAATCTGCAGGTGCACGTACAGTGACATAGAAGTCAGAGTACTTTCAGATAACCTCTAAAGCTAAAGTATGTGCCATGAAGAGCGAAGGGTTTGCTACACTGTATCCGTGTTCTTCTTCAGTACTTACGCAGGCCAGCCCTCAAAGGTAGAGACGGTGAAAAGGGCCATCATGGCCATGAGAACATTGTCAAAGTTGAAGTCACTGTTGTACCAGATCCTCTCCTTCACTGTTGGCAGGCCTGCGTCACCGTTGCTGTAGAGAATGTATGTGCCCCTGGGATTTAAAGGAACGACAGTTCAACTCAACGGTACACGGAGAGATATGGAGAAACATCTACAAGTAAAAGAAGGAGACTTACTTGCATTCCTCTGGGCTGGACTTTGCATCATCTGAGCATCTGTAGAATTTCCCCTTTAAAAAAAACAGAGGTTCAATTGGTGTTTCTTACCAAGGTGTGTGTGTGTGTGTGTATATATATATATATATATATATAGTTTAGGTTTAGTTTTAAGTTATATATAAAAGTGTAAAGTCCATTGAGGCCTAATGTGTTAATGTGTGTCACATTTTGATCAATTGTCATCAAATGTTCCTTTCTCCACACTCTACCTTAAAGAGCTGCACACCAATGCAGGCGAACATAAACTGCAGCAGAGTGGTGACGATCATGATGTTCCCGATGGTCCTGATGGCCACAAACACACACTGGACCACATGCTGAGAAGGGAACAGTCACTTTAGTTCAATTTATCTGCAGATACACAAACAAACAAACAAACAAACAAACATCAGACAGTCACATGGTAGATGTGGTATTTGACCTTGAGGCCCTTGGCTCTGTTGATGGCCCTCAGAGGACGAAGGACCCTCAAAACACGGAGAATCTTCACCACAGAAATAGCAGACGACCTGTGGGAGGACAATCACATCACATCTCACATCTCCTCTGGTACACACGTAGTTTTAGTCTAGATTTACTTTTAGATGATTTCCATTACTGGGGAAATACAATAATACTCACTGAATCCCAAAGGAGACCAGAGACACACCGACAACCAGCAAGTCCAACAGGTTAAAGTAGTTTCTACAGAATGCTCCTTTATGAAGGAACGCCCCAAATGCTGTCATCTGGACAAATGGACAGAGGAGACACTTTAGGACTGAAGAAGACAACTCTGTGTTTCAACACAAAAAGTTTCAAGTTTGACTAATACAATTATAATAATTCTTAATCTAATTATCATTTCAAACTGATTGATTTTATGTCAGTTAACTATGAATATAAGAAAATATTCCCAATATTTGGTTTTACACCTTACATTTACATCAAAACACACATATGTTGAATGGTTGTGAGGACATTCATGGACATGCTGAATTCTCTGACCTAATTCATACATTTAATGAATTTGACACTGTTTCTAAAAGACAGTGGGCTGGACGGGAGATTACAGAGATGAAGATGCTGAGATTTTCACTGGGGCTGACCAGGATGGACAGGGTGAGAAATGAGCAGATCAGAGGGACAGTTAAGGTGGAGAGGTTAGAGATAAATATGAGGTGATAAGACAGAGGTGAGGTTGAGACAGTTGGGACAGTTGGACATATGGTGAGGAAAGAAAGGTGAGATTTGGATAAAGAAAACTAAACTAAAGGAAGCAGCTGAAGGGAGATAAAAACTAAAAACACCAGAGTGACCTTAAATATGCCCTCACAACCTCATCAAGACAAATACTGTTCAAGCACAAAGTTCCTATAAAGCACACAAACGTAAAACACAAATAAACATTCAATGTTAGGACAGAAACTGTAACCTATCGTGTGACAAATCAGATCTTTGGCTTAAGACAGAGGTGTCAGCAAGGTCAAAACGTCAAATGTCAACTATCCAAAGGCTGCAGTAATGTTATACAAGCATTCTGGCAGAAGGTAAAAAAAATATTGTAGTTTTTATAATTTTTCAGTCACAGAATATACAAAATGGTCCCCATACTGTAACTCTGGACACATCTGGCTGAAGCAGTAATACTACATTTTATACTGTGTTTACCTGGGGAGGCATGTAGTAAATGGTGGCACGTATTTGTTCAAACAAAAAATTCTAATAATTAAAAAAAATAAAAAACAGCCACTACAATAGGGGACTAATCATGCAAAATCAGGTGAGGGCAGCAAAAAATGAAGAGAGACCGACAACAAATATCTGACGTAAAGGCATTACACTGATGGACAAAAAAAGGAGGATGAGTTCAGCAAGCTCGGGAGTGCTTTGTTGACTAAAGCGAACCGTGACTTCTTTTAATGTTTTACCTTAATAAGGATCTCAAATGTAAACATACTAGTGAAGACATAGTCTGCATAGCCTAGGATCTGAGGAGGCAATAAGAGTGACATAAGCACGCAGGGTTACTGAAGCTCTACCCAGCACAGCACAGCACAACACAGGCAGGCAAACCACATTTACCTTCAACAGGATCTCAACAGTAAAGATTGCGGTGAAAGCATAGTCAAAATAACCAAGTATCTGCAAGAGGTAATGCACAAGTCCAAGTCATTGCAGTGAATGAACTAGGGTTAATACTTAGCTGCAGTTTAGAACAGATGAAAAAGATATATTTGGGCAGCACCAGGTAATTATTGAATATAAAATACATGTCACGTCATGTACCTGTGAAAAACGCTGTGCTTGTGTTTTAGCCATTTCTAGGATAGCAATTAGCATCTGCCCTTGAAATGTGTATGATTCTTTAAGAAAGAATAGAACAGTGTGACTACTGGACTTATTATTTAGAATGTTTGCTATTACATCACAGATGAATAAATGTTCTGAAAAAATACATACACAAACAAGACTTTAAAATGGCTCTACATCTAGCTAACATAGCTAGCTACTGTATGTTAGCTATTAAACAGTTAATTTAGATAGAAGTTAGCCCTAATACAGTTATATTTACCCTGATCTTGACATGAGAGTATCTGTTTGTTTTGTTTTTAAACTCCAGTACCGATTAGTGCTGTGACCTATTACACAGTTTCCATCTGTAAATGTTTTTGTCCAACAAAACAAAAATGTCCATAAAATGATAGATTTTGATGTTTCTGTAGTAATGTTTCCCTTTTAAAGCTTTGCTATTTGGTCCTAGTGCAGTAATTTTGGAACAACCTCATTATGTCCCAAATGGAGTACTGTAGCAGACTTTTATAGGTCAAGAATAAACAAAGAGAACTTCACTGTTTTTCTTTCTAATTTTCAGCAATGACGCACTTGAGATTTCACTGTTAAGAACAGAGTCAAGAGTGTGTGTGTGTGTGTGTGTGTGTAAAGACTGGCTCTCTACCACACGTCTTCAGCAGTCCAACTTGATGGTGGTGCCCCCTGCTGGGAAGTCGTGGTGAAGACATATGTCATCATGGCTAGGTTTTGCACAGTACATGTTGTGCAACACCCACCAGCTAGTAGTGCCTAACATTTTACTGTATTTTTTAACTTTAGTCAAGATAACACATGTATCTTAAATTTCTAGACTGAAAAAAAATAACACAGCTCAGAAATGGGACACGTGTTGAGGTCACCAAAAAGATAGACAGAACATTGGATATGTACGTACAATATTGCGGGCAGAGAAGTTACGGATGGGATCCTCGGCAGCCAGAGAGACAGAGCTGAGCATGATGAAGACCAGGATGAGGTTGGTGAAGATCTGGTGGTTGATCAGTTTATGGCAGAAAACACGAAATCTGGAGAGACAGAAAGAAGAGTACAAGTGATTTGATTTTAAAGACAGCGCGTTGAAGTAGGGTTTCGGATGTGGTGACAAGGGCAACAACCCAGGAAGCATCCTGTCCAGGCCCTGGAGTGAATCCCTGTACATCTGAGACTCACGGGTTGGTGCTGCTGAAGATAAAGAAGGCACTGCCCTCTGGGATGGGTAGAGTCTTTTCTCTGATGGTGAGTTCAGACAGCCTTTGGGGCCGGGGTCCCGGGGGCATTTCTGGAAGCTCCTCATCATCGCCATCACCACACACTGTGACAGAAATTGCAGAAAATTCAGTCTTCAGGGGATGAAAACAGTCTTCTGTAGTTATGGTTAGAAGGCGACCTGGAGAATCCACCACAGAATACAGTTCTTTGTCTTCCTCCACGTTGACATCTGGTGGAATCTAAGCACAGTGATTAGAGTTAGACTTAGAGTGAAAATAAAAGACGTTGGTGAAAATATTCATAAATCTAGAGGCACTTTGTTTTCACCTTAGTCTCTCCATCGCTGGGTTCTGTCATTTCAACTTTTTTCTTTTCTGTACTTATTTCCCTGTTTGAGACAAGAACAGTAACTAACAATTCAGACGGACTTCTGCCAAATGAAATGTACTTGTAACAAATGTGCGCTATGACAATTAAACACGGAGCACAGATAAAAATTCCGATGTGAACTATTGCGTACTTGGCACTGTTCTTCCTCTTCTTGGCCTCCTCTTCCTCCTTCTGTGCTGTGTTAAGGCTCTCTGCGTCTGCCAGGTTGTCAACCGCAATAGCCAAGAAGACGTTGAGCAGGATGTCTAATCATGTGACTCAAGGAATCACTGAAGAACAGTGAGGTCTAAGAAGATACCAGAACACTGAGAACACCAACCATCAAAATATACATGATACATATGTCAGACCGTCTGACTGACTGACGGTTTGACTGTGAGCCTGTTTTGTGTGTGTTTGTGTAACCAGCAGGATACAGTTTCCACAGATGAAGAGGATGATGAAGTAAACGCTGAGCATCATTCCAGAGGTGGCTGGACCACCGTACGCCATGATACCATCATACATCACGGTGTTCCAGTCTTCTCCTGTCAAAATCTTCAACAAATATGTGAAAATCATATAACGCTATAATATAAGACTGTTAATTATGTCTGTTAAATACTTAAGTAAAATCCACCACTGACCTGGAAAACGGTGAGCAGAGCCTGTGGAAAGTTATCAAACGTGCTTCTCTTGGTTACATTCTCATCAAAATTAAATTTCCCCCCAAAGAGCTGCATGCCGAGCAGAGAGAAGATAATTATGAAAAGGAAGAGCAGCAGCAGCAGGGATGCAATGGACTTCATGGAGTTGAGCAGAGAGGCCACCAGGTTACTGAGAGACGCCCAGTGACTGTGGGGGAGGGGGTGAAAAAAACAGAAACACAAGGAGCTGACATGGAAATTACAACATGTGACATACCTATAGGTAGAGCTGCACTGACCACCAACACCTGTATCAGTAACAGGACTGATACAATACCCAAATTAACAACAGCTTTTCACTACAACCAGCTGGTCAACAAGTGTCATATCTTTCGATATAGATAGATCGACTTTTTGCTTTACACAAAAGTTCTGTTTATGTTTTGATTGTAACAAACTACTGTTCCCATGCCCTAATTCTCACAGAATTGTGTTACCATTACTGCTTTTCAGTTCAGTGCATCTTATTTATTGAAACCCAACCTAAAGAAGTACTCATTAAGTACACAAATGTCAATACTCAAGTGTAGTAGTTTGTAAATAGAAGAATCTGGGCAACCGTACTTAACTAAATCAAAAGATCAGTTTGTGTTTTTCACTCACCGTGTGACTTTAAAGATCCTAAGCAGGCGTACACATCTAAACACAGAGATGCCCAGAGGAGACATGATGGCCAGCTCCACCAGGATGGTCTCAATGATGCCACCACACACCACAAAACAGTCGAATCGATTGAACAGAGACACGAAGTAAGCCTGCAGCCCCAGACTGTACATTTTCACCAGCATCTCCAGAGTGAACAGAGCGAGGAGAACTTTGTTGGCCACATCTGAGGAGAGGAGGACAGATGGACGTGTACAGTAGATGAAGAACAAAACCAAGGAAAGTGCTTAAATATGTGTGTATTAATTAAGTAAATACCTTGTACTTCCGTCAGCCAGTCTGGTTGGTTGTAATGCTCAGAGGCGATGGTGAGAGTGTTGAGAAATACCAAGATAATGACCAGCCAATAAAAGGTCACGGATTTCACAGCCGCTCGACACTTCCTGCGGCAAAAACGATTCCAGCGGCGCCACTGACGGCTGACAGATAAACAGTCAGTTATCACGACGTAACAAACAACACAAACGTGTTCCGATAATTGGAAAATGGGATTGGTTTAAATGTGTTCTTATTTTAAAAATCAGGTTTGCAGTGAGATGAGATTAATGTGAAATATTTCCATGAGCAACAATCAAAACACATGCTTGAGATTGACAGTAATTAGGAAAAGATGAAAACACAGACGAAAATATGAATTAATTATGGAATTAATTATGAGGAAAAAAACAGTGATGGATGAAAAACACATGCAACAGTTCATGCCACGCCTCTTTACTAACCTGCACTTTGACTTAGTAATTTTTTGACTGGGGAAAGTGAAAAAAAAATAATATTTTTTTGTTTTGTGGAAACCTGCACTCAGTAAAAGTTACATCTTTGTTTTTACTTTGGCTCTGTCCAAGTCATAAGATCAAATATGATACAGTTATGGATTTTCACACTCACCACAGTGGTCCACAGCACAAGGATTTGTCTTCTTCTTCATTGTGGTTCTCTGTGTTCACGGACTCTGTCTCTGTTATGCTCGCTATGGTACCACCCACCCACACAGACAGACACACACACACACACACACACACACACACACACACATACACACGCACACAGAGAGAGAGGACTAAGTTAAAGTGTTGATTCATTGTTTACTAAACTAAAAATATCAACAATTAGTCACATGATGATGAAATTTTACTAAAACAATCGACACTCAGCATTTTTGGTTTGGCTTGGTTCTAAGGTTTGGAAAGAACATTGTATAAACCAGTAAAAAACGAATTTGACCTTTGAGCCTCAATGTCAACACAAACTTTATAGTTGATGTTTTTTTCGAGTCAAGTCCAAGCCAAACCATCAGAATGGAAAAATACAAATATTAAAATAAAAAAGCAGACATTTCTTTTGTGTGTCACACAGCTTGGAAACAAACCAAGTTGATTTTTTTTTGCCTAAATTAAAACATAAATAATAAAGTGACTGAGACATGGAAATGACAAATGATGTTGGAGTTCATGCTGTGAGAATCTGAGGCAAAATGGTCTTGGTAAACAAAACAACAATAAAACGATCAAACTTAACACATTTAAACCAAACTCTAAATTTTAATAGATTTAACTGAAACTCAAACCTACTCTTAGTGCCGAGAAATCAGCCGTTTGTAACTGGTATCCAGATATGACTCACTGTCTGAAGTGACTGAAGTTTGTGTTAGTTTCATTAATTTTTGCATTGACTGGATATTATTTGAATAAATGTTTAATGCATAAATCTGTTTGGTAGAGATCATCTGAAAAAATATTTCTGTTATATTATATATTTATTATTGTTGTTGTTGTTTTTTTTTTATTAATTTTAGCTCAAATATTTTTAAATGTAATCTTTTGTTAATGACTTCACAAAACTACTTTTGTTTTAACCATAAATACTTTATAGACTTTACTGTATTTACATCAGTATCAATTTTCCATTAAAACCATAAATAATCATCAGATAAATTTCAGATAATTATTGGATGTCCTGATGTTACAGCACGGAAATGTTTTCTCAAACTAGGTTAACTAAAACAAGTAAGTAAAACTAAGTATTTGCACTGAATAAAAGACGTACAAATGACAGAAAAGTTTCAGCAAAGAAAAGCAAAGAGAAGCCGGAGTGCACAGAGACATTGACTGGAACAAAGATGATCCTCCACAGTCCCTGATGTGAAAAACACTCTCAGACTCACACATTTACCCTGAGTCTCTGTGGACTGGGTGAACCAGCCAAACATCCCTTTCTTCTTCTCAGTGAGGTCAGCCAGTGTGACCCCTTTGTGTCACCAACAGGCAGTTCACACAGCCAGACAGCAGAGGAAGCAGTGAGTCAGTACACACATTTCATCAGAGAGAGAGGACTGTACAACAAGAGAGAGATCTGCTCTATGACCTACTGACAAAGCTAACATTTGCAGCACAGGTATAGAATATGTGTGTAGAAGTGTGTAGGGTGTATGTACCACACAGTAATGCTTTTATCATTATTCAACAGACGAAAGGTGATACAGTCGCACTAAGCTAATCCACATGAATGTGGATATTGAAAACAAAGAACAGACTTACTTGTTTGTTTTTTAAAATACCACTACTATGAGTATTTGTACTGAAATGTTATTTTGCTGTACAGTAAAGTGGAAACAGCACAGAAGAAACCACAGGGAAGAATACAGGAGTTAAGGAAGAGAGAGGATACAAGCAAGGACACTGCAGGGATCAAGGAAGGAAAGTTAGTGCTTGGTTATTGGCTGCATCGTTTACACTGACTGGTCACTTTATTAGGGACATGTGTTTACATGCTGATTATGCAGCAGCTGTCCGGTGCGTTCATGTCCATATAGACTTGATTCTCAGAGTAACACATTACTGAACTTCACTAAATCTATACTGCGAAGGACTTGTAAAGGCTAATTGGTGTCTGAACCATTATTAAGTAATGTTTCTTATAAAGCAGCCATCGTGTCACATCTGAAGCAGGGAAATTATTAGAGGGTAGGATGTGTACAGACTGCTAGACCTGTAACTGATTATATGACACTGTACTAAGAACAAAGATAATTCAATGATTATACATCAGTTTTATTGATAGAATAATTCCTGATTCCTGAACATCCAGCTGATATCAGCACCACGGACAGCTCTACAGTCCTTCACAGCCAGAAGTTTATTTACACTGGCATCAATCTTCATGTTTTCCTTGTTTTCCCGCCAAACAAAAAAGGAGAGTATAATTGAACCCAGAAAACTTACGATTGCGCTTGCCTTCCTCATCTCCTTCCTCGTCGTTCTCAGGGTCGATGTCCTCGGCCTGGGTGATCCAGTCCAAGTAGCCCTTCAGGTCTTCCTCCAACTGCTGCTTCTCACGCAACTTCTGAAAGTCACCCCGAGCCTTGGCCTTTTCCCTCTCCTTGGAAAATTCCCTGGACATGAACAAAAATCAACACCAATCAGACCTCGATCATAAGCTGAAGTAACCGAGTTATACAGCACATGGACAGATACTTTTGCCTTACCCACTCAGTACCCCCAGGACCAAGTTCAGAACAAAGAAGGATCCAAAGATGACCAAGCTGACAAAGTAAACCCAAGGTAGCTCAAAGCCCATGGCATCATTCATCTGAAAGACAAAAAAAGAAGAAGAAAATGTAACACAGCTTACATTAAAAAAGAACAAAATAAATCTTTTTTCATCTCACATTTGTTTTATTTCATTGAAAGGATGACAACAATGCAACCTTGTTCCACCTTGGAACAATTCCTCATTTATTTTCCCAATCAAATATCAAGGGTGAGTTGTAGTTCTTGTTCTTCTCCTTAGATTTTTCAAATTATCTCCTTTCACCACATTAGCACTAGTATTACCATTGAATTGTCATGGTAACACATACAGTACATGCTTTGGACAAGTAAAGAGTGTGTAAGTGGGAGAGAGAACAAGGACAGAGAAAGGGAGGGGCGGATGAGAGATCATTTTATTTGATAGATGAGGGTCTCTGTCAATGAGAAACCGTGGGTGGACTGTGTTGAAAAAGTGTTTTTGGTTAATAAAAAGATCCTTTGATTTTTGCTAACGAGAAAATAGGCCGGAGTTTAACGTATACGTCCAGGAAATAAAGTGATGCCCTTATTTATCAGGACATCGATAAAACATAGTTTTAACATACATTTGCAATCATATAAATGATGATAAGAAAAATTATTCCACTGATTATATAATGACCATATGGTTGAACAAAGCTGTAAGAATACTATATATATATATATATATATATATATACACACATATATATATATATATATATATAAAATCACACAAAAATAGTGACGTGTCCTTAGTCTATGGTGTGTCTCTGTTTCTGATGCAGACTGGCTGATTACCCAGTAGAGGACATCGGTCCAGCCCTCCATGGTTATGCACTGGAACACAGTCAGCATGGCAAACAGGAAATTGTCAAAGTTGGTGATTCCGTTGTTAGGACCCTGCCATCCTTCCCTGCAGACTGTGGTGTTGAGCAGGCAATGACGGCCGTGCCCTGATACTGCACATGGCGTTGGCTCTTCTTCAGCAAGAGCACCTGGAAGACGCAAAATATAGAATTATATGTTACTGAACAAAAAAGGAGCAAAAAGTCAACGGGGTTTGACCTGAGTTTGTTGTTTCTCTGAATCTCATATAGTCATAATAGCTCATAATAATAACATAGTTTAGATGAATTACGCAGACAAGACTGTGCTTGAAAAATCTATGCCTTCTAAGTAAGAAATAATCAAAAGATAGAACCACAACAAGGCATCAAGTATGTCAAGATTTTAACTGTTGAGCCTTGTGTTGTCCGACTTATTTACTCCATCTATTCCCGTATGGAGCTAAACGCTAACCGGGTGTTTGCGTCTTAAGTTAAGGCAAAGTCTTCAACACACAAAACTCCACAATTTTTTTGGCTAGCTGTGATTTCTATAGTGACAACATAAGGTTCAAGTTTAAGCATGTTTACATAAGAGACTGATATAAGTCATTTAATCAGTGCCTTTAATCCACCATCTGTTGACGCTACAGCAGCTTGACATCACACACAGGAGTTCATTCATTCTTATGGATTTAATCCTACATTATCGCGAGCTGTGAACGACTGATGAACCAACTG